TAGTTCTGTATTGGGCTTTTCCCTGACTATTTTAAGCTGAAGCATTCTTTGCTTCCCAGTGAGTGACGGGCAAATGGAGTCACGGATTTTTTAAAGCATTTTTGACAGTCCAAAATCTAGTGATAAGGTTGGTTTCAGATTTCCTTCAAGGAAGTGCTCATTATATGCTCCCACTCTTGCTGCGTCTCGTTCTCCCCAAAATTATGACAGCGAGAATGCCTTCATGCATTTTTTGCTCCTTGTGTCCTACTCCATCACCATATGCTGTGAATACCAATCTGTTTGAGGGAAATGTGGAATGGAATTTGTTGCTCCTTATGCTCTTCGGGGAGCACCCTGGGTGACTGTAACCTGAGGCCTCCGTAAGTTCCTTCCCCTTTTGAAAATCTTAAGGAGGAAACCGAATGCCTTGTAGGGCTGCAGCTTGGAGTTTGCATACTCTGAATTTGGCAGCAGCTTCCCCATGACACATGAATTTCTTTCCTGTTTTTCCCCCCTGACATTCACACTCACTTTCTTGTGCTTCTCTTAAACCTCTGCTTGTTCCTTAATAGTGGAACCCACCCACCCACCCCTGCCCTTTGGATTTACGGTCCATTTCCATGCCAGTAGGGGGGCGAGACCCCCCTCCTCCTATCCTGGTGAATCTCAGTCATCCTACAGACTTGTGTCAGCTTCTCCTGAGCAGCTGAAATACCTCAGAAATATGTACTTATTGCTGTGTTTGTTGGTTTTTATTTCTCTTCTGGAAGGATTTGCATATGTTAAAGCTTCTTTTTATATGTCTTGTTGACTGCTTTTTATTTTTTAATTTTATATATTGTAGCACCAAAGACACACACATACACACACACACACACACACACACACACACACAAATACACCCACAAAGGAAAAAAATAAGGAATTCCTTGAGTTTGGAGGATCAGGAAGCTTTGATGAATTCAGTGTAGTGTGGAAGCACTTGGCAAAGGCCGTCTTAGGCATGGAGAGATAGGTGGTGGTGGTGGTGGTGGTTGTAGATTAATTTTTCAGGCTCCTTTGTCTCTCACTTGTTTGCATTATCTTTCTTCTTAGCAGGGCTTCTTGAGTTCAGAGATGTCAAAACAATCATGCTTCCCTACATCGCACTCCAAAACTCCATAGAATTTGTGGTTGCTTATTATCTTGGAGGGGAAGTCCCGGCCGCACTTCTGAATGTTTCCCACTTCTGAATGTTTCCCAGCATAGTGATAGCACTATGCTTTGGGTGTACGGCTGAAAGGCAGGTGAATCCTGCCTCAACCATTTGAGCACCTCCCATCTACACCTCCCCCAAAAACACACACCTTCCATTGTGTCACCCACTTCATAGCAACAGTGGATTTCAGAAGGCAGAATTTCTGACATCAGAGTCATTAGGGGTCCTTCTCTAACTGTATCTCACTAAGATGCTACTGAATTATTGCAGCTCTCATTAACAGTCTGGAAGAGTAGATTAGGCTTGGACTTTCCTACCACTGTAGTGCTGTTTGACAAATTCCTTGAGAAGGAAATACTCTTGGAAAACTGTCCTAAATTGTATCTGCAGGCCAGAATGTAACAGTTGCAAGCAAAATGATTGCTCACAAAAGAGATTTCATTTAAAAAAATAACAAACACCCAAATTAATTTGATTTCACATTCTGGTACCCTGTAATGTCCACTGCAGCTGCATGTCCAGAGGGGATGTGTAGTTAAAAAGATGCCGCCATGCAAAAGTTTTAGTAGATTTAATATTCGCCAGAGGATTTGTGGGTCTCCCCAATTCCTGAAGTGACCGGTCTAATTTGTGTCTCATTCCTTCACAGTCATCTTCTGAGCAAAGTTACTCTTGATATCGATATGTTCTTCTCTCCAGCTATTGCAGTGTGACCTTCAGGAACTATTCATAGCCAATAAGACAAGCTTGGAAAAATCCCTTCTTTTAGACTGCACATGCCACAATCCCCCAGCCAGCATGGCTCCTGGCCACACGATGCCCCACGGTCCCAGTGAACCCAGTGGCTGCATACTGGCATGGCCTCAGCCAGAGCTGTTCTGATCACAGGCAATGGCCAAAGGCCTCTCCTACAATTTGCACATGGTTTAAGGACATGGCAATTGCAGTTGAACCAAAGTAGCACACACTAACACAAGAATTAATGAAAACAATATTGTTGAATTTTCACTAGTGTACCACAGAGCCAGTTCCAGACTAGTATCTTGCTTGTGACCTGTTAAAACAATTGCTTCTGGCAGATGATTTTGTTTCTTGAAGAACTCAGGTTGATCTAAATAGCAGCACTTTTTCCGCCCATACATCAGATTTATCAGAGGGGATGCAATGCAAACTGAACTGAATTACCTAGTATTCTGAACTGAAAGGCCTCTGATTTATAATGATCAATCTTAAACCCGTGGTGGCTTGTTGGTGGGCCAGATACGACTTGCACAACAATCGGCTTTCATGGTCTCTGTACACCTGGCCAAATTTTAATCAAGGGTTGGTAAAAAGTTTACTCAGGATCCATGCATGCGTGGTTGAAAGAGAGATTACATACTTTAGTCTTAACTCTCTTCAGCCAACAATAACTGAGAAACAATGAGACGCCAGATATGTCATAGCAGACTAAAACTCTAGACAGCCAAGTTGGTCCATCTGATTATCATTATTTCTTTAAAGTGCTACAACTGAAGCAACAGATAGTGTGAGCCAAGCCTTTGTGTTCAGAATCTTATTGACCCAGCTCTGACAATTTTGAAAGCTTGGTCGTATTAAGTGAGGCTGACCAGATTGTCAGCCAAAACACACTTCTGTCTGGATAATATACTGATGCTTGAGAATACAGAAGGGGAACATCCATGTACCAGGCCAGTGGATTGCATCTTTTGGGTTTCAACATTTTTTGGACCTCAGTGCACAAAAGACCTAGCAGTTCAGGGATTCTGGTAGTTGAAGGCCAGAATATCTGGAGTGTCAACCACTCTCTTGGATCAGATCTGGTCAACTGTGGGCTCCATACTTTGCAAAACCTAGATCTTCCCCTGCAAGCCTGCTAAACGTTAATAAAATAAGGAGCATGATTTCAACCCGTGTTCATACTGATGGGGAAAATTCCCCAAAAGCTGTGTGTGAGTGATTCTATAAATTTCGGTTGCATCTTTCTTTGGGCTTTGCAAAAAAAGCTCCCTTAGGAAACAAAAAAAAAACACTTATGCTTTCTTTATGCTTAGTGGGGAAGGGATAAGACGTGTAAGGAAAATATAAGTCTCACTGGAGATAAATTAGCTCATTCCAGTCCTGGATGTTCTAAGATAAATTCAATGGTTGAGGAAAGGTCCTACTGGTGGCTGGTGCTACAACCCTTAAGAATCACCCCCTCCCTCCAGCCAGGAGTGGCTGGGCTGAGAACCAGAGCCAGAGTGCCTTCAAAGGCAGGGACTAAGTATAAAGTCATGTATTCCTCCTATATGGACTGAATGGACCCAGACAAAAGTGGTCTCCTTTGTTGAGTATTTCAGGCATGAATCTGAAGCCAAAGAACTTATTGATAATGAAATCCCCTCGGCTTGCCTCTGGAGCAGCTGATCTGATAATGCAGCAAGCATTTTTTTTTTAACTGTCATTGCCAGCAGGATCACAAATTATGTGCAAGGCTTAAACAAGATAGGCAAAGTACAGCCCTCCTGATTTTCTCGGTTTGCAACTCCCAGCGTTCCTCCTCATTGGCTGTGCTGACAAGGGCTGGTGGGAGTTGTGATCCATATCAACACCAGGTGGACTACACATTGGCCCACCCCAGTTTAAGATAGGACAGCTCAGGTTAGCCACCTAGAGTGGTCGCAACGACCAGATAGGTGGGATACAAATAGAATAAATAAATAAATTATTGTTGCCTGTTGCTTTCATATCCTGCTTTTAGCAGAAGCTGTGCAAGAGCCGGTTTTCCCCTAAACCTTCTGAGCTGTTCTAGTGGCTAAATGTTTTTCCTTCTGTATATTTGGGGGAGAGGGAGAGTCTCCATGTGACCTAAGATTGTCCAATTATAATGACATTTAGCAGAGGCACAAGCCCTAGGCAGGTTGTCTGGAAGTGTGTATCATCCTCACAGGATGAGGGGAGTCGCTATCCCCCTGCCATCTCTTTCTTGAGGCTGCCCTTACCCAGGTAGGCTCCTCATGTCAGAAGCCAGAACTTGCAAGGAATTCTGGGTTCTGACTTGCACAAAGAACTAACATGGACAGAACCACTTCAGGTGGTCATGTTGGTGTGGCGAAAGCTGTGACACCCTCCCCCAAAGAATCAGATTCTGTTATTTCTTCTTCAGTGTTCACTTCTTCTATAACCCTCCTTCAGAACATTTTCCTCAACCAGGTTCTCTTAAACATCAGAGCCAGGGGTGGCGGGGGGGATGCAAGTTGTAGCCTAGCCACCCCCACACTGCATGCTTCTCTCCCCACCCCAACCCCAAAGAAAACTGGCACATTACAGCCACTGGTCCAGCAATGCTTGCAGAGTGACCTGAGTGCGAATGAAGGACTCTCCGGCTGTTGTGTCCGCTTTGGTCCTGCCGCCTTTGCTCATTTCTTGC